CAGCACTTTGGGAGGCCGAGGTGAGTGGATTGCCTGAGCCCGTGGGTTCGAGACCAACCCATGCAACTTGGCGAGACCTCGTCTCTACAATGCACAAAAAATTAGCCAGGCATGGTAGTGCGCACTTGTAGTTCCAGCCACTTGGAAGGCTGAGGTGGAAGGATCACCGGAGCCCAGCAGGTCGATGCTGGGGTGGCCATGAGCATGTCGCGGCACTCCAGCCTGGGCGGCGGACTGAGACTCCAACTCGGAAAAAAAAAAGATAGGACCTATGTAATTGGGTTAACACGAGGCTTAAAGGGCTAATATTTGTAACAGACTTAGAACAACGTCTGGCATATAGCCAGTGCTTTATAGAATGTACTGAGGTAAGTAAAATAAGCCAATGATATTTCAAACTTCCACTATGTGTGCGACACAGCACTCTTAAGCACTGAACACATCTTTCGCTTGTTATTTTTAGCACTTTTTCATTTGAAAACAAGGCTTTCCCTGAATCCTGACCACAGAGATCGTGCTGCCTCTGGCTTCAGCAAGCCCTGTCCCCAAGCAAGTGCCCAGCAAACTGCTCGCCTGTGCCCCTCCACCTGCCACACCCAGCCCTTCAGACACACCCACATATCAGGTGACAGCAGCTCCGGCCCACAGAGCTCCTCCAGGTGGTGCCCCAGAAAACGTGGCTCAGCGGCCACAGCAGCCACCCCAGCCAGTGTCCTGACTTCACCAGCGTGACTTGCACGACACACATGGACAGGCCTTCAGCCTACTCACACAGGGCGCCTTTTCTACGGCGGGTGCCCCCTCTTCTCAGAAATGATGAGGAAGACACGTGAAAAACAATTATTTCTCTTTCACACAGAAACTACAAACCTTTTAACACCATGACTGTTGCTGACAACGAACATAATAAAGAGGTTATTTTAACGCCAGAAGGGAAGGTCCTCTTTTCTCAAAATGGGGATTGTTTAGCTGACTCCAAGAAGATGAACAAAATGATGGCCATGATGGTATAACGACTGAGAAGGAAGATATGTGCAGCCCAGGAGACAGAATGGGGAGAGCAGTCTGCAAGGGCTTAGATGCTGCAGACCCCCCCCGGGCTTCCGCTAACACGAGGCGCTCCCTCCAACACCAAGCGTTCCCTCTGAGGAGCGAGGCACATGCCCACTCCTCTGTGTCCTTCCACCAAGACCATGACCCATGAGCCTCCCCGTGTCCACCCTTCCCGCCTCACCTTCCACCTCCCGCCTGGCAGCTCAACCTACTCTACCTCCTTGGGCAACCAGTGTTTGTGTCCCAGCTGCCAACCTGGGCACATGCACCTAAAAACCTCAGTTCCCGGAGGCCTGGCATCTCCAGGCACAACATTCCAGGGCTTCAGTGTCCTCCCACGACAGCCACAAAAGGAGAACATGCATCTCTCTTGCTGCTCAGCAAGCTCTTCTTTCTAAAGATGGAAGGAATAGTACCTTAAACATTCCGCAACACAAGCAAACCACTGTATCAACACGTATCACCTCCTCCACGCAGAGGACAGAGACACAGTTTCCTTCGTTCCGTGTGTGTGCTGTGCTTCCTGGTGACAGTCGCCACACAGAAGGGACTCGGCACACATCTGCGACTCTAGGGGCGAAGTGCCTACGTGCTCTCCTTCCTCCGGGACAGTCCGCTCTTCTCCCTGCCTTCCCACTGCCCCACAGGGAGCCTTTGCCAACACACTTGCTAGATCCCAGCAGGGCCCTTCGGCGCTGCCTATCCATGGTCCTGAACCAGCAGACCTTCCAGCCCAAGCTCATGGCCACGCACCTCTGCCGGCACGCCACCTGGCCCCTGTGGTCAGTGTCTGCGTTCTGTGTGACGCCATACCTCCTGTCTTCCGATTATTCTGAGTCCCTCCGTGCCAAGTGAATCCTCACCTTGTTTCTGGTTCCTCACGATCCCACTCACACCTACCCCAAAGCAGCCCTTCTGATTCTCATCCATGAACCCCAGGGAACCACTCCTACCCCGTCCCCGTCTCCCCTCCTGTCTGCTTCTTTTTATAGCACCTGCTTTCCTTCCAGGCTTATCTCCAAGGAAGGTTTCACAGGCAACACGCATCTGTGTCATGCAAGGCAACCACATCCGTGCTGTCGGGCGCGGGGGGATGCGCCCTCCCCCTTCTGCCCTCTGCTGTCCCTGGGCTCATGCAAGCCTTCGTTCTCTCTCACGACCAGGGTCCACATGCACCAGCACCCCCACCCACTGACTGACATTGTGAGTGGGGAAAAGCTTCTTGCTTTCTGGTGATATTGACCTCTGGCAAGCCAGCTTGCATCTAGCTTACACGAAGCTGTCTTTTCACTCACTGATCAACACTGACAACAATCATCAACAACTACAGTCGACCCACTGCTGTCTCCTATGAGTTCTGTCTATCAAGTACTTTATGTGCTTGCTCACTTACTCCTTAAGATCTAGGAAGTAGACACATGTATCCTTATTTGACACGGGGAAACTGAGGTTCAACGAGAAAAAATAATTTATCCAGTCACAAATTCCAGAAGTGGCAGAACCCAAACATAAACCGCAGTCCACTGAACCCTGAGCCCTGTGCTCCACAATGCTGCAGCCTGTCTTCCCAGCAGTGCCAGGCCTCCCTGCGTGAACTGCCCTGGGGAGAAGTTTTTCCACCTCCGACCCACATGGGCAGGGCAGGTGCTGGTAGCACAATCAGCTCCTCCTTGGTGATCACTCAGTGCAGACAATGCTCGAAAACAGAACACCGAACTGGGTGGGTCACAGCAGTCTCCTTCTGACATCTGTTAGAAAGAGATGAGAAGGAAGGAGGAGGAGCGTGGGACACCCCCAGCGGCCTCTGCCCTCCCAGAGCTGCCTGCCTCTGCACCAGCTGGGCACACCCCACCTGAACCAGTCACGCAGAACAGCATCCACACTCGCGAATGCCACAGCCCACATGGCTCGTGCTTCTACCTCGCGGGACTCCTCTGGCTTCCCAGGGCACTGGAGTCAGAAGTAGGGGATCCCTGCAGAGCCTTGACACTGCTTTACTCAGACTTTAGAAAGAAAGAACAGACACGAAAGATCCCTTCAGGACCGCATCAGAGAAAACGCCAAACACAGCAGGAAGCACTGCCTTGGGAACGTGGCATGGAGAACGAAACCCAAATTCATGAGCGGGACCCCCAACTGCGCCACAGGTTTCAAATATTGTGTTGGGAGATTATCTCAGGAACCAAGCTGCTGTCACGTGGGGAATTAAGTCCGGAGTTCAAGGAGAAACGTCAGCTCTCACTTTCCTGGGAACAACTGGGATTCAAACAGTGTTTTCAAGACACATGTCACATGCTCATCCTTCAGGAAGGTTCTGCACTGCACACTGACAGTGCACAGACCCCAGAACAGGAGTGCTGAAAGGGGCCTTTCGAGCAGACTGCTCAACGGGTGAAAATGAGGCCCTGGGCGGGAGAGGGAGGGGCTCAAGGTCCCAGAGCTGGCGAGTGGGCAGCACTAGAGCAGGGCAGCCCGATGACCCACCTCTCCCCCGCCACCACTTGGGTGGCACAGTCCGCAAACAGAGGTCAGATGCCTCTCCCAGTTCCCATGTTCATCGTGTCCTCTCCGAGAATGGCTTCATTGCCACGCACGCCTCTGGGGATCTTCCCTGCTCGATCTGCAGTGTACACATGATGTGCGAGGGCTGCGGAATGCAGGGAGCCCAGCACCCACGGTGTGCAGGAGCCCACAACAGGGAAGAGCCCACAGTGTGTACCTGGTGCGTGGGCCCATGGCGTGCAGGGAGCCTGCAGTGTGCACATGGTGCACGAGGGCCATGGCATGCAAGAGAGATTCACTCAGAACCACTAACCATGGTGATAGCTGCACACATCCTAGTAGGTTGGCAAGAAACACCACCCCAAGTCCAACCTCAAGGCAGAGAACAAAGATCAGGTCCAGGAAAACACCAATTTCACCTTTTCTTGTGCAAACCCTTCTCTTCCAATTATCCTGTGCAGCTCAAAGCCTCAGCAAGATTCCTCAGGATCATCACAGCAGCCATCCGCCCATCGCCACCTGCCCAGCAGTGTGATCCCTCAGCAACTTCTCAGGGACGAGGCCACAAAGGAGCAGTTCTGCTGCCTCGCCACAAAGCACAAGCAGAACAGCGCACATGAGGGATGTAACCAGCTAGGAACCACCCACTTTACGCCACAGAAGCCCTGGCTGCTGGGGTCGGTGAAACCAGTGAGTGGGTGCCTGGCCCCATGCTTGGGATGCCCAGCCCCACACTCTTGGGAGGCTCTCCAAGCACCTCGGCTTCCAGCACCAGCCAAGCCACAGAGCCACGCTCGTCAACCCATGCCAGTGGCCGGAGAGCAGCACGTGTCTGTGCCTCAGACGGCCACGGGCAGCACTGCCAGAGCCCTCGGCAGCCACCGCAGGACTGCGGGGCATCGCACAGCCTTGGAGTCACGAGGCTGCCACTCTGCATCCCTCCTGCCCATCAAGTCCCCGTCGGAACCGAGGAGCCTTGCCCGGCACCAGGCCACCGGAGGGAAGGAGCAGGCACGCGTGGCCGACAGAGCTCTACCTGTGTGAGTCCTCTGGTGGGCCTTGAGGTGGGAGCTTTTCGTGTACACCTTGCGGCACCCGTTAAACTGGCAGCGGTGGACCCTCTTCTTATTCTCAGGGCAGGCCTCGGCCCCTGGCCCCCCAGGGTCACTGTCGCTCGGCCCACTCTTGCTGACCCCAGGGGCCACGGCCGCAGCAGCTGTCGCCACACCTCCCACCTTAGTGGACCCCAGCGCAGCCTTCTTGGCCACCAGTCTCAATGTCACGGTGCCATCCACGGCCAGGGTCTGTGAGGTTTTGACCAGGTGGCGGCTGAGCTCGGGAGACGAGGGGGGCGTAAGCGAGGTCACCGCATTGAGCTGGGCCTGGTTGACGGCCGCACAGCTGTCCAGGGTGGGCCCAGCGGCGGGTGGCAGGCCCAGGCAGGTCTCGGAGAGCAGAGAGTCCCGGGACAACAGCAGGTCGACGGCCGTGCCGCGTTCGCACAGAGGGGCATCCACGGGGAGCAGCAGGGGGTCCAGGCACCGCAAGCTGTCCTCCACGCATTGGGGAGGGGATGCGTGCAAGAAGCAGTCCAGGTCCTCCCCGAAGGTGTCTGAGATCCTCCTGGGCTCCGTCTGCAGGTAGCGCTCCAATTCAAGGCATGTCTGCAGGGGAGAGCAAGGGAGAGACACCATCAGAGGCACGGAACAGCACGAGGCCACGCAACAGTAGGTGCCCGCAGAGGGGCAGCCATGGCTGGTCTCCGAATGCCCAAGTGGAGCAGCCTGACCTGGTTTTCGTTCTCTGAACACCCTCCAGGGCTCAGCACCTCAGAACCTCAGGGTCATGTCATCTGACTTCAACTCCTCTGGCTGAAGGGGACCTAGAGCCCCAAAGGACGGCCTCACTCCTCCAAGTCCAGAGAACACTCAAGGACAAAACGAGGGCCTCTGCCCCTCAATCAGTGCAGCAGCTGAGCTGCTCCAAGCACCCCCCCAGGAAGCCCCATGTAAGCAAGGAGCAGAAGAAGCAGACGAGGTTTTCACGTCAGACAAGACTTCCGTAGTCCATTTTTCTAAACAGACTTGAGCACAGATACGTCCGTTTGCCAACTTGCTCAGAAGAAACCGCGTCCACTCAAACCGAGGGGTGACCTCAGCACCCAGCCCTGCTACAGCAGGGGTTCCCTGGCCAGCAGGAGTGAATGTGGTTCTAAAGAATGCCCACCATGGAACCTCTGGGCCCAAAAGACACCCTTGTTGCTTACAGCAAGTGTGTAAAAATACAACTGCCACAAGCTTTGTAGCAGGGGCATAAGTCCCAAATCAACAGTTTAGCATCTTTGACCACTTGACAAAAATAAGATCAGCCACAACTATTTCATGATCTTTAGATCGGCCCCAAAGTATTTCAGTATAACATTTTCACCAGGTAAAGAAATGAAAGAGAAGAACCAAAAAGGTTAGTTTCAACCAATCTTCATCCCTGGCACTCCTAAGTCCCTATGCAAGATGACAGGTGTGTTTTTATGGCAACACAGATACTTCACAAGATGGTATTCTGAAGTCCTCCTCATTTAAAGACCCTACTATTTCAGAATATTATCTAAAGCTACACTGTGAAATTGCACCATCCACTCACTCTGCTCTATCTTCTAGAATCAACCAAGAATCACTGACGGCAAATGTAAAATGCAACTAGCTCCAAACTGGCTGCCCCCATAAAGCTTCCATGTGTTTAACCAGTGTTCTGCTCCAAGGCTTTCATTCTGCTATGAACATACCTTAATGATAGACCTGTCAAGGACGTTATTTTGGTGACATTTCAAAAGACTGGTTTTTAATCAGACTTCTGATAAAACTCTGCATTACTGAATAAGAAAATCAGATTCGTAACTGCAGATCAGCTGTGAGCCTCACTGCTGATTTTCAATAGTATGAACTAATAAATGGCTCTGACCTTCATTCAACACTCACGTCACCAGCGTTCATCTAACCACCATGCTCGTGGCCTGGTGCAAGACTGTGCGTGGTCTGAAGAAATACAGCAACGGATCGTGGGATACAGACGCAGAATAAACAATCACAGGCTAAAATTATATGAATGTGCAAAGCACAGTGATACTACATGCCTGAACATAAAGTGTGTTGGCAAGTTCTTAGGGGCTGCATGGACAATTGGTCCCATACTCTAGAACGCGGTAGCACGTCTCAAGGGAAGCTTACTGGAATAGTGAGTTTCTACTTTGCTTTACTCGTTGACTAACCGAGAGCGCCGACTCAGAGGCTTCCCGCCACTTCACACTGGCAGCCAGCACTGCCCCTCCTCAGGGCTAGAAGCACCTATCCCCCTCACTTGCTCCTTTTCTGAACTCCAGGTCTCAAGATTTTTTTTCCCCACCTCATGGCTAGAAACTTCTTTCTAAAATTGAAGCCCTCAGTCTTAGCGCCCGTGAACTCACTCCTGGATTACAAGATTCTCCTCCTGAAACTTCCCTTAAATCTTCCCCTTTTCTTATTTATTTTTTATTTGTTTTTAATTTTTTATTTTAAAGATGTGGGGTACAATTCAGGGTAAGAAATACAAGTGTTCATTGTGCAGGTACCCTTGTTGATGAGGTGTGCCACGCCCCCTGTCCCCCCAGCAGATTCCCACTACTGCCAATCCTGCCTCTTCCATCTCCTCCCCAGCAGGTTCCTGCTACTTACAGTATTATGATAATCGTTCAAGGCCTGCTTATGAATGAGAACATGTGATACTCAGTTCTTGGTTTCTGTGATAGATCACTCAGTATTATAGACTAAGTCCATCCAGGTTGCTGTGAAGTTCATAATTATGTCCTTCTTTATGGCTGTATAATATTCCATCATGTATAAGTACCACCTTTTTAAAAAAATTCAGTCCTCTTTAGATGGGCAGCATGGTTGGTTCCATGTTTTTGCTGTTGTGAACAATGCTGCAATAAACATATGTGTGCAGGTATCTTTTTCATAGAGTGATTTGAGCTCCTCCAGGTATATTTCCAGGAGGGGGATTGCAGGGTCGTATGAAAGGTCGATTTTTAGATCTTCTAGGAATCACCAAACTGTTTTCCACAGAGGTTGTATTAGTTAATACTTCCACCAATAGCATGGAAGTGTTCTCTTTTCGCTGCATTCTATCCAGCATCTGTTATTTTTTTGAGTTACTGATGATGACCATCCTGACTGGAGTTAGGGGGTATCTCAATGTAGTTTTAATTTGTATTTCTTTGATGATTTGTGAGGGTGAGCATTTTTCACACATCTGTTGGCTGCTCGCATGTCTTCTCTTGAGAAGTGTCTATTTATATCTTTGGCCCATTTTGTAATTGGGCTGTTTGTTTTTTTCTTTTTGGCACATTTGAGTTCCTTGTAGATCCTAGGTATTAGGCCTCTGGTCAGACATACAGTTGGCAAATATTTTTTCCAGTCTGTGGGCTGTCTCCCCCACTTCCTTGATGGTTTCTTTTGCTTTGCAGAAGCTTCTCAGTTTGATGAGGTCCCACTTGTCAAGCTTATCTCTTATGGCAAGGCTTCTGGGGTTTTGATCAGGAATTGGTTGCCTATTCCAATTTCTGTAAGGGTGTCTCCTGCATTTTCTAAGGTTCTTAAAGTTTGAGGTTTTACATTTAGGTCTTTGATTCATTTAGAGTTGATTTTTGTGTGTGGTGATAGGTAGGGGTCTTGTTTTAATCTTTTGCATGTGGTCAGTTTTCTCAGTACCATTTACCAAAGAGGTTCTCCTCTCCCCCGTGGTTGATGGTGGAGGCTTTGTCGAAGATGAGTTGGTTGAGAAATTGAGGTTTCTTTTGCTTTTGGAATCTCTATCCTGTACCATTGGTCTACATGTTTCTTCCTGTACTAATACCAGGCTGTTTTGATTATTGTAGCTTTATAACGTTTAAAGTCTGGAAGTATGATACCTTCAACTTTGTTTTTGTTTGTTTGATTTTTGTTTTTGCTGAGGATTGTTTTGGCTATCTGAGACTGTTTATATTTCCATATGAATTCCTGTATTGTCGTTTCCAGGTCTGAGAGGAATGCTGCTGGTAATTTAATGGGTATTGCACTAAATCTGTAGATTGCCTTAAATAGGATGGACATCTTAACAATGTTGATTCTTCCAATCCATGAGCATGGAAGATTTTTCCATTTGTTTGTGTCAACTTTGATTTCTTTGAGCAGTGTTTTATAGCTTTTGTTGTAAAGGTCTTTCACGTCTCTGGTTAGGAAAACGCCAATGTATTTCTTTTTCGTGTGTGTGTGGCTATTGTGAATGGGATTGTGCTTTTTATTTGGGTTTCTGTTTGTTTATTGTTGGTGTCTAGAAATGTGATTGTCTTTTGCACATTTATTTTATACCCTGAGACTTTGCCAAAGTCCTTTATCAGGGCAGGGTTTTGACAGATTCTCTTGGGTTTTCGAGGTATAGAATCATGGCGCCTGCAAGAGGGATACCTTGACTTCCTCTTTTCCTATTTGGATATCACTGATCTCCTTCTCTTGTCTGATTGCTCTGGCTAGGACTTCTAAAACTCTGTTGAAAAGGAGGGGTGAGAGTGGGCATCCTTGTCTTGTTTCAGTTTTCAGGGAAAATGGTTCCAATTTCTGTCTGTTTAGCAGTATGCTGGCTGTGGGTTTCTCGTGGATGGTTCTTACTATTTTGAGGTATGTTCCATCTATACCTAGATGTTCAAGGGTTTTTATCAAGAATGGGTACTGGATTCTATCAAAGCCTTTTTCCGTGTCTAATGACATAATCATGTGGTTTTTGTTTTTACATCTTTTCATGTACATAATTACGTTTATGGTCTTGTGAATGTCCAACCAGTCCTGCATCCCAGGGATGAAGTCTACTTGGCTGTGGTAGATGATTTTTAAAATGTGTTGTTGGATCTGGTTTGCTAGGATCTTGTTGAGATTTTAGCATCTATATTCATCAAGGATATTGGCTTGCAGTTCTCCTTTGTTGGATCTTTATCTGGTTTGGCTATCAATGTGATGTTAGCTTAATAAAATGATTTGGGGAGAGTTCCATCTTTCTCAATTGCCTGGGATGCTTTCAATAGGACTGGTATCAGTTCCTCCTTGTATGTTTTGTAGAATTCTGCTGGAAAGTCATCTGATCCAGGGCTTTTTTTT